CTTCGATGCTTCCTTGCTTGCTTGCTTGCTTCCTCCCTTCCTTCTTTCCTCTTTTTATTCTAAATACTTCTTTTCTCTAGTGTAAAATGTACTGGCACAACAAGGGAGACTACTTGGCAGTTAAGGTTGACAGAAACACCAAAAGTAAAAAAGTAAGTTGCTATGGATTCCCGCAAGTTTCTCGTAATGGTAGTTAAGGTTTTTAAGAGATGTAAGATTGTTTACGATGTACATTAAATACTTCTATGTGTAGAGAGAAGTTTTGAACTAGTAAATAAGTGATCATACATGTTGGTTAACAAAGCTAACCAAATTTTATATATTTATTTTAGGCTCTGTACTTCAACTTTGAGTTGTTTAGAATGAGAGAAAGGCAGATTCCTGTTGAAAGTCTTGAAATGAAAGGTAAAGATTGAGAATTTTCTTCATTTTTAAATTTTAAAAAAATTTCAAATTTTGTTAGTTTTTTTATTTTTACTTTTACTGGTAAAAAAGAAGTAATACTCAAGTGAATGACAAGAAGGATCATACCCAAAGATAGCAGAAATATTAACCAGAGTCTCTTCAATTGGACCAGTATGTTAATCATGATTTTTTTTGTTGGTTATTTCAGAGGCAATTATTGCATTTGCGTGGGAACCTGGCAGTTCAAAGTTCTGTATTCTTCATGGTGAAGCACCAAGAATATCAGCTAGTTTCTATGACATGGAGATCCAAGGCAGTGTAGAACTACAAAGTATGTATATAGAGGCTATGCTCATCTGTTTAACAGGGCTTAAAGTAACAACTGGTCAGTCACTGATCACAATGACTGGCCGAATTAGTTTTAGCTCAATCATACCTCGTTACTGGCTCAACTTATGACCAGCAAGGCAAAGATTTGATTGAAGAAGTTCCAATCCTGGGCTGACATTGTTCAATGAATGGCCGTTATTTTAAGCCCTGGTTTATAAAAGAGAGCAGATGAAGAGGTTTCTAAAAGAGAGCAGAGCAGAGGGAGGGAGGGCAGAGGAGAGAGGGCAAAGCAGAGGATAAGACAGGACAGAACAGGAGAGTTGTGAAAAGAAAAGAGGAAATAAAGAATAATAATCTCATTGAATCTTTTCCTTTATTTCTTACTAGAAACCTATGAAAGAAGACAAGCTAATAATATATTCTGGTCACCGAATGGTCAGTTCTGTGTCTTAGCAGGTCTACAAAGGTAATAAAACAAAACAAACCAACTTATATTTTTACAACCACCACACCCCATACAGGCCTCTTCCGTGAGGTGCCCTCCACACTTACTACCACTACATTCTATATTTACAACATACAACACTCAACTCACATGTTGCCTTTTAGGGAGGGAGGAACCTGGAGAACCCATAGAAAACCCTCGTGGCAAGGGAGAGAACAGCACCTCAAACAAACTCAACTCACATATGATCCCGTCTGAGCTGGGGCAACCCAACAAGACAGTACCACCTTAACTTCACTTCACCTAGCTCACAAGTAATGTTGCTTTGGTTCCATTGCAGTATGAATGGTATTCTAGAGTTCCATGACACAACTGACTGGGTCTGTATGAACCAAGCTGAGCACTTCATGGCAACAGATGTCGAATGGGATCCTACTGGTAGATTTGTGGCTACCTCTGTCAGCTGGTGGGCACATAAGGTTTGTAAGAAACCCACTCTGAAACAACTACTGGGCTGATAAAACTTAGATTATGGATAACTCTGACTAGTTATGCTATGCTTGTAAAATCAGATGGTATTTTTCCTATTGCAAGTTGTTCTCTTGACGATAATAGCAACATTTGATGGATTATTAAATTACTTTAAAGGTTGATAATGGCTACTTCATCTGGTCCTTCCAAGGCAAACTACTCCAGCGACATGTCTTGGATCAATTCTGTCAGTTGCTATGGAGACCAAGACCGCCTACGCTTCTGGATGAAGAGGCTCAGAAGGTAGGGAACATATCTTTACATGTCATGCTTGCAAGCAGAGGATTTATGCATGCTTTAATCTTTTTTCTTGCAGAAACTTAAGAAAGAAATGAAGAAATACCAAAAGACGTTTGAGATCAAAGATCGTATGAGTCAGTCCAGAGCTTCGAAGGTGAGTCTTGATCACCACTATCATTGCTGCTATCATTATCGTTATCATTATCATCATCAACACTGTGATCATCATTAGACACCATCATCATCGTCACTATCATCATCATCACTATCATCATTACTATCACCATCATCACTATCATCATCACTATCACCATCATCGCTATCACCATCACAATTATCATCAATATTACCTTAGAGCATCATTGTCTTGAGCATAAAAAAATAATCGAACATCTTTGCAATTCCATCACACCATCATTATCACTATCACCATCATCACTATCATCATCACTATCACCATCATCGCTATCACCATCACAATTATCATCAATATTACCTTAGAGCATCATTGTCTTGAGCATAAAAAAATAATCGAACATCTTTGCAATTCCAACGTGGCGTCGTTCAGTATAATCATAACCATCACCTTATTCATCGTCATCACCATTTCATCTTATTTATTATTTATTCTAGGAAATCATCGAGCGTCGTCGACGCAAGTTGAAAGAGTTTGAGGTGTATCGTCAGAAGAAGATCACCGAGTATCAAGAGACCAAGAGGCAGCGTATGGATTTGCGTCAAGGTAATACGAGCCTCACTTGTTTATATGTGGACATTTGTTGCTGTTTCTACACATGTGTATTGCGCACATTTCGATGTCATGCGTGACATGTGTCACGTCATGCGTGACATGTGTGACGGTCCTCCATCTTGGCCTCGTTTGCTTTCCTGTAGCATTTGAGTTATGCATGGAGGCAGATAAACCAGTGAATGTATGGTTAGACCAGAGGCTCTTCTCTTCCTCTGGCCACAAACATATCACAACATAATAAAGCTTAGCTTAATAAAGGTAAAAGCTTTCGTGGGAAGCCAGCATAAAGGATATGACGTCCTTTGCGCGTCAAAAATAAAAAGGGTTATGACCTCATCTGCGCGTTTAAAGTAAAATGGGTTACGACGTCATATTGGCTCAAAATAAAATGGGCTGTGAAATCATATACGCCAAAAATAAAATAAAATGGACAGAAAGGGATAACTGGGTTGCAGTCTTCAGAGTCTTGGACCGCGCTTTAGATGATTGTGCAGACTTTTACGAACATGGTTTGTCATCTTGATTTACTCAGAACAAACTTGTTTTCTATTCTCAGGTTTGGAAACAGATTCAGGTGAAGGTATTTCAAAGGAAGTAGATGTGGAACGTATTGAATTCTTTGTCAAGGAAGAAGTAATCGAAGTCGAAGAGTAGATTCACTCTCAACCAAGAATATCGTCCGCCATTTTATCTTGTCAATCGACCGATTATTCGTTCTTGAAGTGAATTCATTCAAAGTATCTTATTGCATATCTTCCTTGGAGTGTGAAATCTTGTGTTTGGGTCTTGACTGACGCGAGGTTTTCAACTTGATTTGATCATATTATTGTAGGGTTTTGTCTAAATTTATCTCGAAGGAAAAAGAAAATCTTACGCTCCCTAATTTTTCAAATATCTTGTCCCGTTTTAGAAATTTTTTCGTGTTTAAAAAAATTAAAAATAATAATGGTAATAACAAGAATTAATCCCGTTTTCAAATATAAATGTCAGGATCTTTATCAACTAGTTGCTTGTATCACTTCACAGATTCCATTATTTTGCTTAGTTCAATTGATTTATCTATTTTTCTTGCCCCTTTTTGCTTATTTTTTAATGATAACGAGAAAAACGAGTTTCTTAACTTATTTAGGTAAAAAGAAAACCAAATATTTACCAAATAAGAAAAAAGGGGAATATATAATTAGAAAATTTAGAATATTAACACTATTGGTTAAAATATGTTATCATAAGTGTATTATTAGACTGTTATTAAAATGGCATACCCTACGAATCAAATGACTTGTTTACTGGGTGTGAAGAAGGATGTTTACCTAGCATGCTTTGCGCGCATCGACCAACTATATTATCACACTAACAAGTCACGTGATCTCTCATTTTCGCTTTGCAGAAACATCGACTATATAGAGTCGACTATAAAGATTATGAAGGAAAATAGTCGTATTTGGGTTCCCTGTGTTTTTACTTCGTTGTAAGCCAATTTAATAAGGCTATAATACCCACCAATGAGAGCCAAGATATAAATTAAAAGAGGAAGTACGGAAGAAAGCAATTGAGAAGTGGCGTCGTCACTTTTTTAAGTGCTCTTCAAACTTGCCGACTTTTAAGAGGCTTCTTGACATTTTAACATATGAAAAATCTCATTTCATACTTGATATAAGACTGCCTTTTAGCAATGAAATATAGTATCTGGGAGCAAATTAATGATTTATTAGGCCATTCATAGTCAAAACTACAAATAATCAAAAAGAGTACTTGCAAATGACGTCACGAAGGTAGCAATTCGTCCAAATTAACAGCGGTCTTAAAAGTAATTATAATTTGTGAGAAAATCGTTTATATATATTTTAATTTTTTTTCGTGTGTCTGTCATCTATTGTCATTTTTGAATCCAGCCACACTAAATCGCATAAATTATTCCATTCTTTAGGATATAAATTGAGTTGCTAGGGTCCCCGTTGATTTAGAGTTTACATGAATGTTTGTTGACGGATCTATATGACTAGCTTTTCTTCTCAAGTTTAATAATCTGAGAGAGGAAGTTGAAGATTGAAAGACGTTTTCGCTATGGTGGATGAAGAGGCTGAAAGAGAATTGAAAAAGATTGTCTTTGTTGGCTCAAAAGCTGAAGAAATTGCACACAAGATGAATAGACGATGTGATATACGTTTGACTTTGGAAACCCGGCATTTTGAGACAGATCGCAATCTGTTTCTTAAAACTTTTAAAGCCGAACACAAAGCGACTCTTCAAAAACAACAAAAAATCAAAGAAAGACTTCGAGAACTTCGACTAAAGAACAAAGCACCCTCTTCGAGAACTCTTCATTACGATAATACTGCAAATACTCAAGCTAAAGTTCGGTTATTCGTGACGGAGTCAAAACATAATTTTAGAAAAAGTTCAGAAATAGAAAGAAGAGCTATAAGTGCACCAGAATTACGGAAAACCTCACAAATGCAATTCAGGGACAAAACCGCTTAGAGGAGTTTTTAAAGCTATCGCGAGAAGAAAACAAGTTGTTGTTTTGAGTAACTGAAGTGGATATCTTCTATGAATTTTTATTTTCGGAAGATAATTAGCTTACAGTGTTTTTATAAATACCTCTTTGCTTTTTCAGACGCTGTACAAACAATTTTTGTCCAACTTTAAGACTAAAAGATTATTAGATAACTAAAACTCCCTTAAAATGTGCTCGTATGTCGGAAGTTTTTGTCTCAAAATATAGCTGAATGCAGTTGTATAGGCATAATTTATTTAAGGAGCTAGAATCTAAAGAATATATAGTTTATTGAACTAAAATGGATTTAAATTTTTTATATTAGTGTTAATCCTTGGGTAAAATTAAAGGATTTGGAGGATAAAAAGATTTACGCAGCGAACAGATGAGAAGAGTATATCACTAACTATGAAGTCTGTATTTGGTTATCATGTTAAGTGGAGTGGCCGCCCGAAATTTGCCCTCTATTGAAAAGCCTCTAACTTTCGTGAGACCCTCTTGATAGATCTATTGCACGTATGCGTTAATCGTAGAAAACCGTGTTTCCATCGAAGTAGATCTATGGTACCGTCTTGCGGTACTGACGATAGAGACCTATTATAGGGAATGGTCTATCGTAGCGGGATGGTTTATCGTAGAGAGATGGTCTATTGTAGCAGGATGGTCTATCGTGGAGGATGGTCTATCGTAGCGGGATGGTTTATCGTAGAGGATGGTTTATCGTAGAGGATGGTCTATCGTAGAGGATGGTCTATCGTAGTAGGATGGTCTATCGTAGCGGGATGATTTATCGTAGAGGGATAGTCTATCGTAGCAGGAGGGTCTATCGGACGGGACGGTCTGTTGTAGCGGGATGGTCTATCGTAGAGGATGATCTATCGTAGGGGATGGTCTATCGTAGAGGATGGTCTATCGTAGCGGGATGGTTTATCGTAGTCGATCATTTGTCAATTTTCAGCTGCTTAATTCTACGCCGGGGGAAAGCAATCGATCTCTTTATCTCAAAAGTCAATTCAAAAATAGTTTGATGAATTGCGCACAAAGTGACCGAAATCTAAACTAAAAGCCAACGGCCGACAGCACCACAAGTGCTTCCTTTTCGGCCGGTTTGTATGAGCCACGATTAGACAAATGATATCATAAGCAGATTTTATGCTTTTTGCATCCAAATGAACAGTGCTGTCATAACATGCCATAACTATCTCATGTGGTACAAATCATCTGTCGAAGTATATTGAGAATTAAAACAGTTTTCACTGAAGCTTCCTATGAGTTGACCAAGGTATGAAATGTTCTTTCTCTCTCTCTCTCTCTCTCTCTCTCTCTCTCTCTCTCTCTCTCTCTCTCTCTCTGCCACCTGAGAAACGAAGTTGTTCGTAAATTATTCAGTATTTTTCTTTGCCTGAACAGCGTTGCTTGGTACCCCAGTATCGTAGTGATGAACCGCTCTTTATGAATCGTAAAACCTTCACAATCAGTACACAACATGTATATTTTATTTTCTCACAAACATGGATAGCGAGGAGAAGGAGCCTAAAAAGACAATGTTTGTAGGTTCAAAGGCGGAGGAATACGCTCACAGAATCAACTGTCACTATCGAAATCGTTTGGACTTTAAAATTCGTCATTATCAGATACAAAGGGATGTTTTTCTCAAGACTTTAAGAGTTGAGCGTAGCGCGGTCTTACGACAGAAGGAGGAAATTGATGAAAGACTTCAAGTGCTTCGTAGAACTCGAGAATCAACTCGAAAGCCCAAAGAATTTGAACGGTTTCCAAAGGAGAAGGGTATAAAAGTGTTGGGAAGTGATTTGCAGAACTTGAAGCATTAGACATTCTTGAAAACCTTTTTTCAGTGATCAACTAATCTGTAAACATTGAATGGAAGTCGAGGAGGCTGTGGATTAACAACTGAAAGCTCACTCTTTTCAATTTAGGAAATCAGAAAAATGGTTTTCACAGTAATTAATGGTATTAGTTATTCACTGCAGTGCGCAGTGAATCAAGGGGAATGGACTGCAGTGCGCAGTGAATCAAGGGGAATGGACTGCAGTGCGNACTGCAGTGCGCAGTGAATCAAGGGGAATGGACTGCAGTGCGCAGTGAATCAAGGGGAATGGACTGCAGTGCGTAGTGAATCAAGGGGAATGGACTGCAGTGCGTAGTGAATCAAGGGGAATGGACTGCAGTGTGCAGTGAATCAAGGGTAATGGACTGCAGTGCGCAATGAATCAAGGGGAATGGACTGCAGTGCGCAGTGAATCATGGGGAATGGACTACAGTGCGCAGTGAATCAAGGATAATGGATTGCAGTGCGCAGTAAATCGCAATATTGTTTTTCAATAGTAAATCAAATGATTATCAAAAATTGGGGAGAAAAGATAAGCGGATTGACTCAGATTGTCTACCAAAAGTCTGACTCACTAAACAAAAAAAGTACTTGAAAATCATTTATTAAAAACGAATTCTCGTGACACCCATCCTGTTACTTTGGCAGTGAGAAACCTTTTGTGGCAATTTGTTTGATCACCAACTATAATTTGACTGGACTACACGTATATATCGAGGGCAAACAATCATGTCATGATTTACCTAAGGTTTATCACTGGGTCAGTCGCTATTAATCAACATTTTGATCTCTTTCTAAGATTTTCTAGTTCTTTCTAATCGCCACTTGAACAAACGTTTAGCTTGGTAACTTAGCAACAATTCCTGCGGCGAATTATACCACTCATTGTCGACTTATAATAGGGAGTCTTTTCACTTCCAACTCGGCTTTCTTTCTAATTGTATTTTCGGGAAATTTTGAAATAATTTGGATTTCATTTAAAAGTCAATTACTTTCGATAAATTTTAGATGTAAAATTAATTAAGATTACAAAAAGAAATTATTTATTTGTCCGAGCAAATCAAAGAGATGTGAGTAAATTTCGTAGGTGAAAATTCGATTCCTGCTCAATATCGTTTGAATCATGTTTGACTAGTTGTCTAAATTTGCGCAAAATGCAGAATTCATTCAAGTTTATTAATTTTTCGAAACACATTTGAATGAATAGCACACAAAAAAAGTGTTTTTCATTATAAAAACAATTTTTCATAAAATTTATGTTTTACTGTTTTAAGTTTTTATATTTTTCTGCAAAAAAACTCCAACTTTGTTCACATTTACATGACTATATGGCAATGAGAAAAATCTTTTTTGTTATTCTCATATTCGTTCTAATGAGAGTTCAAATGAAATTTGAGTTTTTTTATTTGACGAGTTTAGATTTGACAACTCAGTTCTCACCGTTTCTTGAACCGTAAGTTAAATCATAAAGTAAGTAAATAAAAAAGTTTAAAATTAACTTCTTATTTGTCTAAAATGATTGATGGCTGTTGTAAAATTTGTCTTTTGCGATTGTTCATTGTTGTGCGAAATAAGATATGGGGGCCGGTGACCGAGTTCTACCCTCGACATGGTACCGAGTTATATGCTCTGTTGGGACACGGCTCGTGGGACAATCACTCTACGGTATTTTCTTCCCTATTCCACATATTTTAACATCTATAGAATCAAAAGATGGAAACTCTTAATCCAGAAGGCCTGCATACAATAATATGTAACACATATCAAGTAAGAAAATCAAGAAATATTATCGATTCACCCGCGCTAATCTAATGTTGAACGTGTTTATATTTGATCATTAATCCAAACTTTTGATTTTAGAATATTTTTGAGGTATCTCCTGTACTTAAAGAACTCGCTACAGCTGCTAGACATTACCATAAGGCTATACAAAGTAAGTTAGTAAGAATTTTTAGATATTTGTTATGATTTTCAACAGTTTTGAGCTCATTATTTTCAATCGTTTAAATTTATTTGTAGATGTAACCACATCATCTTCTGCTTTCCATCAAGCGCTCAACAAGATCTCACAAATGGCTTCCACGTCTGTGGGACCTGCTAAACCGCTAGGTAAAAAAATTAGAACTTTATAGAAGAATCTCTTCGAGAATATGTCGAAAGTGTGGAGGAGATGTTCCACTCACAAATTAATATTCCTGTGTACTTTTGATTTATTTATTTTACTAGAACTCACGTAAAATAATTATTCATCAAAAAATTCTTCTAACTTAAAACAATTGTCGACTACAGAAGAATGCTTCTTAAAAGGATACGCTTACAATTTCATAATATCGATTTAAGTTTTAGGGCTAAATTTAATAAATCATACTTCAAATGAAAGTGAGCAGAACAATAATTATACAAGCTTGATTTTATTTTTTAAATGTTTTTTTGTTCTTGTTCAGATACGCTTACATTTTACACAACGATAGATATGTCTGCATTGTTTAGATAAAGAATGGAATAAATGATGCAGTTAGTTGGTTTTGTTATTGACAAAATTTGACACTTAAAAGGTTTCCTCTTAAAACAAGGAATTTGTAAAAGTTTTGAGTAAAATGCTCATTTGTTTTTCTTTCCATTCAGGAAATCTTTTGAATTTTGTTCACACTAATGACTCTGCTGGAGATCATTAAGTTCAGGTTGAATTGAATAAATTTGTCACGTTTCAAAAAGTCCATTAAATTTATACAAAAACAATGGATTATTTTCTTATCGATTATGATCCAATCTTTGGTTCTATTCACAGTATCTTAGGTCGTATCCCTATGTTGAATGTCATGTATGCCTCAGCATGTATTGCTAAGATTTCATAATATATAAATAACTGTTCAACTGTGTGCATAATCTGCTATAGCTATATCATATTATAAACACACATACTTAGAGTAATGATAGATCTATTCTTTAAATTTTGATCTAGTTGTAAACAATATTTCAGGAATCAATATTAAAATGATATCAAAAAGTTTTTTTTTTCTGTTAAGAAATTGCAAAATAGCATTGTCAACACTTCCTGCTAACAAATGTTATAATAAAAAAATTATCTAAGAAAAATATCTTGGATTTTTAGGGCAGACAATTGAAGACATTATGGAAACCAATCGTGATATAGAAAACAGACGCTCAGAGATCGTAAGTGTAGTTCATATTTTCATATTTTTTCATATGTACTTAACTCAAGCTTTCAAGAGGTAACTTGAAATGTAACTTCTAAAAATAGCAATTGAAAACTTTATTGTGCAATGAAGATAAATTGATATATTTAAGCGATATATTGAGGAGACGATTTGGAGTCTTTACTTAAGTAATCTCTGTGCATTAGTTGATCCGATGTTTATAGCTTTTGTTCTTTGCTGTGTATTTTATTGAATACCAGCATTTGAAGCTTGACAAATCCTGTCTAATCCCGTGTTGTGTTTTCATTTTTTCTTGTCACATTGATAAAGAAGAGACATTGTATTTATTGACTTTAAATTGGTTAAAATAGCTTTATTGATTTTCTTGTGAGAGATTGTTTGTAGTGTCTGAGTCTATTGTTTTTTTGTCTGCGTAACCTTAAATTAGAGGTGTCATAGGACTAATCTGGCCAAGTTTTGGTTATTCTTTGTTGTTTGTTTGAGGAATTAATGTAGCAATCCTACTTAATATCCAATAATATCTTAAGACTTTCTTCCTTCACGTTTCAGCTCAAGACCATGATGAATGATCTGATAGTTCCTTTGGAGTCTCTCATTGAATCAGACAATGTTTATGTTAAGGTTTGGACGTACTTTGATCTAAACAAATGAATCATTGCATAATATTGATGGAAATATGATGATGATGGTCAAGGCAATGATGATGGTGATGCTTGTATGACAATGATGTGATGATGATAGCGATGATGCATTTTGATGGTGATACAGTCAATTCAAAAAACGTTGTCATCGACCGGCTCAAGCCTACATGACTGGACTGAAAGCAAATATGGGTTAAAATCACTGAAGCGGTTAAATATTAGCTCTGAATATATTGTTCCCGCTAGTTATAAAATAATAACGGTGAGAAACAATCCATCAAATGCATGTCTTTGGGTTTAGGGAAAGAAAAACAAAGTAGTTATAATTCAGTTCACAATCCTGAAAATACGAAGGCATTAAAAAAAGTCTCCTTCAATATTTCCTGCTCGCCTACAAAGGCTCGTGTTGTAAACCAGGCATAACTAGTCAAATAAAATTATGGAGTCAACTTGGCTTCAATGATTGCTACCCAGAGTTTCTTTCGGTCCAGTCGCATAGGCTTGAGTTGGTTGACGACAACATTTTTTGAATTGCCTGTATATAAATACAGTCGCGGATCCAGGATTTTGTTCAGGGAGGGGTGCGCACCCCCTGCACTCCTCCCCTGGATCTGCCCCTATCAGAAAATGATGTGATGACGATGGTGATGGTGATGAAATATGATAATGATGTGATGATGATAGTGTTGATGCATGTTGATGGTGATATATGAAAATGATGTAATGATGATGGTGATGGTGATGGTGATGATATATGATAATGTGGTGATGGCAGTCACAATGACGAAGATGATGATGGTGCTTATAATATTCATTGCTTCCTTTTCAACCTATCCTTGAACATCCAAGAATGCAATGCATATGTCTGTTATCTCACTGTATTATCATTATTGTCATCATCATAGGCTGTTCAAAAGAGTTACAATCAAGACAACAAAACGAAAGTTGAGGTAATCTGTCTGTTTGTACTGTGACATGGACACATTGACACAGGCAGGGAAGAGATGTTTGGATTTTAGAATCAATTTGGGGTGGGAGTGTGGTCCAAAGTTTACAGTGACTGGAAAGAGAGGGAATAGGAGCCTATTGCTGGCTTTCACTCAGCTGATAAAAGTTTTTGAATCTCATTATCTGCTCCAAATGGTGGTCAAACACTGACCACCATGTGCTGTCAGCCAGAAAGAGTCCAATTGAAAAGTTGCGGTTCAGCTGATGAACTTTCCACACGAGACAAAATTATGTCACTAGTGCAATTCAGCAATATCCCCCTTTTTGCTAATATTCATACTAAATTTTTAAACCTAAGCCCCCCAACTTTTAGTGTGCATAAAGAATATATTCAAGTCTCATGATTGTCAATCTTTTGATTGAAATCATATTGCATTCCTGCTAATTTATGACCAGTCTGACTCGTAGACTGGTATATGATAAATTAGCCTGTTACAATTGCTTCTCACCCCTACCTCCTGCATCTTCCCTGGGTGAAGGGGAGGGCAACCATAGACAAGATATATTTTTCCTCAGCTGGTAGAAAAAGCAAGATCTGATCTGATGAAAGTGAGAAAGAAAAGCCAACGTAAAAAGCCAACTGATAAATATGAAGAAAAGGAACGACAGGTATTTTTTGTTTTCTATTTTTATTTCCTACGTTTTTCCTGATTCTTTAAAATTATTTTCAGCTCTTTACATGAAAACAAATTCTCCCCTACCCACCCCTGGTTGGTGCTCTCCTTACTCTACCCTCCCCTCCCACATTTCTTGATTCACTATTACCAATGGCATCCAATTGCAGCTGCATCTCAAAAAATTGGTCAACGATGGTTTCTTCGTGCAAATTTTACTTTCTCGCATTTGTGCATGAGCATCCCGTCGCTCCACAGCACCAGTACCATGGAATTATCCGGTTTTTATTTTATTTTTCTAGTGCGATGAATATCATTCCAACTTACAAAAACAACTGGCCAACTTCAGGAAAGAATCCTGTCAGAGGGTAGGTATAGACCCATCCAACTTGCTTGTCCTTTCCTAGAGTATCATGTCTTTGTTTACCGGTTGCACATGAGAAGACACATGAATATAGATACGACTAAACAGAATCTTATTCTAGAGAGAATGAAACATGGTCTGAAATGGGAAAACATTATGCCTAAGGTGTCATACACTGGCACTTTTGTTCTGGTTGATCAGTATTTTCATTTTTTATTATTTATTTTATTTTTAGTCGTTGTCAGAAGAATGGAAGCGATACGTATTCGTAGTGGAAAGAACTAACATATTCATGAAGAGTTACATGGAGTTTTACGACTACGTAAGTCCTACTTCTTGCCTTTATTTTTCTCTTAGAGACGATTTGGTACGAGAAAAACTCATGCGCAATTGGGTGTGTTAAATCCGTGACATGTGTAGTGTCCAAGCATTCTGATTGTACATTTTCTAGCTCCACTGATGAAAGCAGGACCAAAACTCCGCAGCTTGTTGGATATCAGTAACGTGATTTTACTTTCCCCTCAGAACGCAGCCATGTTGAGAGAGAAAATATCTTCGTGGCTTTCTCAAGTAAAGAAGAGACCCGAAGAAGAGGTTAGATAGGTGCACGATAAACATGGTTTATTATGATATATATGCACGGTACAGAGTGTCAAGATGCACGATAAACATGGTACATGGTATATGCGCACGGTGCAAAGTGACGAGATGCACGATAAACATGGTTTATTATGATATATAAGCACGGTACAGAGTGTCGAGATGCACGATAAACGTGGTAAACAAGTAAAGTATTGATTATGATCGAGTATCTTATTCCCCAACAGGCCAATGGTTCGGTCGCACATGGAGTGGAACCTCTTGGTCCTTTGACACAAAGGTACTTCATGCTAGTCTGTCTGTCTGTCTAGCTGTCTGTGTACCCGCGTGTTTGTCTGTCTTTCTGTCCGCCCTTCTCCCTGCCTACCTTCCTGTCTTTCTGTCCGTCTTCCATCCTAGTCGTCAGGTCTTTCTGACGTCTTATGCGACTCATGATTTCACGGTTTATACCTTTTTTAACAGTAAAGTAAAAATTATGGCTATTTTTGACCACAACGCTGTAGAAGAATCACAGTTAAGCTTCAAACAGGTATGAATATAGCCTCTTACGCAGGCACCTCCTTGGCTCTTTTTGCTCCTTGGGCTTCCTGTGGCGAGGACAAAAAAGTCGTCTCCACTTCTTCTCCTCTCTCGTTCCTAGTTTTTCTCTGCCATAAGAATTAACACAGGTATCCCAACAGAGAATATATGGGGTAGCCTGCTGAGGAGTCTAGTATGACTAAAGACTTTATGTTTATATTAAGGATATCGTTGTACCAACATATTACGTTACATCACGTCATTATAGTTAGCATGCATGTTTCTGTGTTAATCGTGATTCAAGACCCAGTCACTGACTGAGACCCAGTCACTTGCAATCCATTTCAGAAAATTCCAAATAACATCCAATTTATCTCAATAGCATCTTAATGGAGGAAAATAAGTCGTAAAACTCTGTTACGATCCACAGGGTCACCTATAGACACATGATGTGTACAGTCCTTTGAAAAACCTTTGCCGCTGACCGGATTCACAGGACTTCAACCTGTGCCACGATCCAAAACATTTTTTTTGCAAAATTTTGGAATAGAATCACTAGTTTTTGATAATAGAATAAAAATCATGGGATAAATGTTGCAAATTCGGCGAACAAAAACGTATAAGTTCCGTACGATCCAACAAACCGCAGTCCAGTCCATTCCATCTATGTACGGTTCCTGATTTTCCAAAACTAAAAAAACACTTAAAATTCGGCCATTTAGAAGAGGAAAACAAGTTTTCGAAGTTGAGCATGTTTTTGCTATACATAAAGATTATCCATGGCCTTTCAAAAGGAGAAAACGTAAAAATTTTTACTGGGTGGCCTGTTGCCTGTGCCAGTCGTAAAATGCGTTTTTTTTTTTGTAGTCTCAGTTCTCGCGAAATGTGCATTCTTGCGCAAGAGTACCCATATATGGATTTGAATGACTTTTTCAGAAGTGTTTAGAAGTAATGTAATTATATTCATTTCTAAAACTCCCCAAAGAGACAATACAGACGTCTTTGCACGTCATTGACCTAGGGTATTACGTCATTATACTAAGCAATGATATCGTGTGTTTCTGTTTCCAGGGAGACATCATCGACCCGATCAGTGAAGTGGTTTCTGGATGGCAGTACGGACAGAATATCAAAACATCAAAGTAAGTTCTAACACTGTTAGATATTATAGAATATACTTGCCTCTTAAAATAACTGGAATGACCGGATCGCGCTAGGTAGTCACGTGATTGCTATCCGCCATATTGGATGACAAGCATAAATGAAAGTCATCAGTTTGATAAGATGCTAAAGACAGTTAGTATAAYATGAATGCCTGTCACTTATGTTGATTAAGATATTTGTATAGTTTCTTTGAAGATTGAAATAAATTTTTTAAATGGTGGAGAATGGTCACGTGATACAGTACGGTCCGACACCTAGTCTGCGCATGCGTAGATTTAAGAAAATCGGTGTGCTTTTTTAAAATTTCAATGTGTTTTTTTTTTTTTGTTCAGGTCAGGCTGGTACCCATCCGCTTACACACAAGAGATTATCGCTGTTCCTACAGGGTATCAAAACTACGATTCCCATTTCCCATTTTTCTCCATTTTCATTTTTCATTTTTCCATTTTCTATTCTCATAGATCATCTGTAAGCCAAACTATGCCTGCCTCAGGTGTTCATACACGAGCTGAGTTGAGTCAGACTAGCAAGTCATTAAAGAGATATTCAAGTGCAGGCCCAGCCATGATGAATCTACCGTTACCTGACTATGGTGCTAGTAGCAGTACTGAATCCTCCACTAAAACACAAGGTAAGGTCACTTTATTGGACATAATTATCTATGTTTTTGTTTTCGTTGCAAAATTTTGTTTCCAGAGCCCGCGTTCAGTTTGGTCAGAAGCGAGTTAACGCATGTGCAATTCAACTGGAAAAGCATTCTAAAGCAAAAGTTTTTTTAAAATAAATACTTTATTAAAACAAAAACGTGACACTTTACAATATATAGATATACAAAAAGCAAAAGATACCAAATTAAAAGCAAAGCTCTGTCGGTGGTTTATATTTATTTTTAATTCTTAACTTAAATACATCTTATATATATACTAGTCCATAATCTTTAGTGTAGTGTAGCAGACCAGAAGGAACGCAAACGCAGGGTCAATAAAAACGTCAAATAAAACATATTTTTACTGCGGTTATTAGATAGAACATTATTTTTCTCTACTTATTGCTTGTTATCAGAAAACAAACCCGATTGTACTCCCACTGCGTCTCCAGGACCAACCAAGAGTGGATCCGCACCTTCATCGCCAGCGAACCATCCAAAGCTTGGAGCTCCACCGCCACCACCATCACCACCCACTGAGGTTCCATCGCCACCCCCACTCCCTGAAAACAATAATGAAAGTGAAAAGTAAGTAAAGGGTCAGTTAGTCACGTGATGTATGTCTGTATGTCTGTCTGTCTATCTATATGTCTGTCTGTCTATCTATATGTCTGTCTGTCTATCTATATGTCTGTCTCTCTGTCAGCATGTTTTCGGTTTTCTCTCTCAGTGTCATATTTTTTCATTTATTTATTTTCCATACATGTTTTTGTAGGTCTAATCCGTTCACTGGTGTCGCCCTAAAGAAGGCAGTCACAAACGATCGCTCAGCGCCAAAGATTTAATGAATTTAATCCTACACGGTCGAAGTACGAAAATGACCTGCTTAGATTCAGCTTTTTAAACTGAAACCAATCAAGTAAAATCATTGTCTCTAGTACTTTGACAGTAATAATTTTTTTGACCAACCGACCTCGTTTTGATGTTTTTCAAAGTGAGGCTGGACAGGCCTCGACACATTGAAGGTATATCAATAGCTAGAACAGTCGCGTTATCTATTCACTAGAATGTGTAAATTGATTATAAATTGAATTGAATTTGGAATTGAAAATCTAATATATTTAGTTTATTTCAAATCGTAGTAGTATATTTATAGAAAAAAATCACGATTTTAAAGTTGGTAGATTGGTAGTATATCTGTAGAAATCCGCTAGTTTATCGTAAACTCGACGACTGACTTTGTAATGGCTTTTGCTCTAAGCCAATCAAGAGTTGGCACTAAAATACACGCGCGTGCTTATCCAATCACAGCGCTTCAAATTGGGAAGACATTTAAGTGTTGCCAAATGAAACGATTTTCTTTTTCTTTTTTTCCAAACAAAATTCGAATTCTTTGAAAAAAAAATTTTTTTTCCCACTAGGATAGTAGATTATGAGAAAACCTAGTGTGGTGTTTTGTCAATTACTTTCGTAAAGTCAGACAGTCAGTCAGCTTAAGTATCTTCATGCGAGACATGAAACACTTTTTTAAGATAAATGAGATTCATTCGTTCGTCATTCCTCTACAACTTGATATATCTTTCAAGTTCAATAATCCAGAATATAATTTTCTATTATTCCTTTACATCTGTATGCATATTTTTTCCCGTTTATATTTCGTTTTTTTCAATAGTTTGTAAACTTATAGGAATCCAACATTTCAGCGCAAGTAACTGCGAAAATTGAGTTCTATATAATTAAAATAAAGTTTAGTTTATTGATTATTTCAGTGAATGAAATTCGAATAGATTTGATTCTTTAGATCAGTAGTATTGTAAATTATTTCTGATAAAGAAAATTAATAAATGTGAAAATATATTACTTAATTTGTTTGTGCGTTATTGGAATTTATTAGATATTATTTTCAATAAGAAAATGGATGGAGATGTGAAACTTTTCTTCCCAAAGGAAATGTGAAGCAACTTCTGGGTTTTGCGGAAGAAAGAAGAACCCGGAGAAAAAACCAGGAATCAAGAGAGATACCTAACGAACCCTACCCACGCATCTCCCCAAGAAATTAGCATGAAACTTTTTCATACTATTCTTAAGAAAAGAAAAAAAAATTGCCAAAGTGCGAGAACATTTTGTCTTCTCTTTCGTCCCCGAATAAATCTCGTGGTCTTCCTGTGTTAACACTGTCAAGGACTGGGTCAAAGCTCATTGCGCGCCTTTCGTGCGCCATATTTAAATTTGTCCACAATGTTTCGGTGAAGTTCATGCAGAAGTTGGCCCTCTTTTGGCATTTTTCGGGTACAATACTCTATGTTTCTTCAATATAGAACCTCTTTATTAAAACTAGCATGGTTTGGAAGAGGTTTTGAGCACGTTTGATGTATTTTTATGGAGTTTTATCGTGTTTTCCTGGTCGTGTGTCCGACTGTGTTTCTGAGGGGAATCAAGAAGCAGCAAAAAAGAACCATAAAAACCACTTGAGTAAAAGACGATGGAAAAGCTTTTAGAAACAGAAAAGGTAACAGAACCTCCATAGAACATAAATCTAGCCAATATTCTTAAGTTTTCTCATGTGGGCCATAAAATTTGATAAATATTTTCGTACGTACGAAACAAAACATCAATACATCCGTGCTGTCTGTTTTTTGTCGATAGAATTAATTTTTAAATTTGCAAACATATATACTTAATTAAGGCGTTAGCTTAGCTGAATTGAATTTATTTTTGTTTTAAATATAATATTTTTAATGTTAGTTTTGGGTTCTGTTTTTAGGGAGCTGATAAACCCAAAAGACTGCACAGTAGAAGGAGGACATTTCTTGGCATTGCACGGCATACTAAAACACCTAAAAGGAGCCTATCTGGTAACACAGAATATGCAGGAGGAATTCTTACAAAAACTCCAGTTAACAGGTCTTGTTCTGTAAGAAAACCCCTTCAGGTAGTTTCAGCAACAAAGGCATCAAATTCTTCATTCTTTAGCATTACAAGAAAGGATAAAAGTGCCTATGCTGCCAAGATGTTTGGAACAAAGATGATGGAACCTGTTGTTAAGTCAAAGACTCCTGTCGCATTCACCACTCCAAAACCACAGGGATCCTTTAATGTGCCTTGTGGAAAACCTGAGAGTACCGACGGTTGCATCTTTGAGGGTCGTCAATTGTCAGAGTCTTTAGGAAGCTCAAGTGACGATTTCAGAAATAGTTTTAATGATGGAGAGAAACCATTTATTTTGCAAAGTTTGTTAGGGTCAAGAAAAAGCAAAAAGCTAGATTTTATTGTCAAGGATTCCAAGATCTCAAAATCTGCAGGTATGAATACCAACCATGATAAAATGTCATCAGCATCATCAGAAACTTTGATTACGAGAACATCAGCATCATCATCTACAATACCTAAAGCGTCAGTGTCATCTGTGGTAGCTGAATCAACTGCGTCATCTGTGATAGCAAAGTCATCACCTTCATCATCAACAAATTCATCAGTATCACCAGTGATAACTGATTCATCATCATCCATGATAACTAAGGCCTCCATATCTTCATGCACAATTACAAGCTGTACTACAAGTAAGAGAATGAGAGTAGATGAAAATATCAAACTGGGGTTAGCTTCAGATCTACCTGTTATAACAAGTACACTAAATAATGATACAAAATGTAAACAAAGCAGTATTAACCAGGGAACATTGCATACTGTTCATGATGAGGCTGACGAAGACAAGGAATTCTCAAATAGTGTGTTTTCAGAAACTGTTGGAAAGAAAGATTCAAAAGCCTTTAACAAAGATGTAGAATCAAACTTGTCTAGAGCTCAAAATTCTTCTGTTTGCTCAGTTAAAATGGAAAATAAAAATGTAAAAAAGCCAGAAAGAAACAAATTAAAAGTATCCAGAAGATCTGCTGGTTCGTCTAGGAAAGCTTTACAAGAGGCAAGATTACAGGGATTGAAGAACAACTTCAAGAATACTACACAAGATTTTGAAACTTGTAGCAGTGTAAGCCTAACCCCCAGTCCAGCTGATGCCGCTGAAATACCACCATCATCACCATTAGAGACAGAAATCTTCTGTACTCAAAAGTCTACACCAAGTCCTACTGGTAATGATATTGATAAAGTATGTGTATCGAAGTCAGAGACCCAGTCACAATCATCATCGTCGTCAACTACTTCATCCCAAAGCCTTGAATCATCAACCAAGACCAACAAAGACTGGATGCATTTGTTTGAGGAACCTTTCCCAAGGAGATCACCCAGACTGAGCTCTCTACCTGCAAGTACAGCCAAGGATTATGAGTATTTAATGGATAATTTCTCACCACTCACGTCACGGATGAGGTCTAAAGGAAGGAAGAAGCAACCAAGGACAAGGAGTAGTCAGAAGAAGAAGAAGAAAGGAGAAGATGCCGACAACCACTCTGTGCCTTCAAAAGAGGCAAAGATGCCAGTTTCACCTTTAGTGTTAGCTGAAAAAGAAACGGCACCTCCAATATTGCAAACATCAGCATCTGAAAATGATGCAAAGACGAAAGAAGAATCTTTAAAGAGGCCAAAAACAGAAAAACCAGATAATAACATCTTGTCAAAAAAGAAGTCAAACGTCAGCATTAATCAAACATCGGAAAATGATTCTCTTGTTCCTTCTGCTACCAGTCTACATTTATCACAGAATGAGAAGTTTTGTTTCCCAAGGCCACCAGCAATTTTATCCTGCCCAAGGGGACCTTATAGCATGATAGTGGACTTTGCTTTGCCAGACAAGGACTATGCTAAGCTGAAGCTTGCTAAGATTAAAGGAAATCAAGCCAGGAAAAAAGCTACTATGGACTATGAAGAAACATCTTCTCATTGTGACTTGAGGAAGAAAGAAAAGCTCAATAAAAACCTTGTGAATGATAAAGATAAGGTAAATGAAAGTTTTAAGACTGATGAGGAAATAACTGAAAGTTATGATGGATCGGCCAATGCAGCTACAAATATTGTGGATTCCACAGTTAATAACAAAGAAACTAGAGGTATAAGAGAGGAAAGGGAAATGAATGCGATTCCAAGAGACATATCAGATAAAAATGAAAGTCAAAGTCAGAAAAAAGATACATTGTATTTTGAAGTAGAGGATGATAATGGATTCATTCCTGCCACTCCAAAAACTAAGACAGACCTAAGTATTACTACTGTTAGTAAAAGTAATGATAATCTATCTGAAGAAAGATTTACTCAGTATTCTGATTCAGATAACACTCTATCTGGATCAATACTTCAGAATTTACAAGCATCAAGTATTATAGATAATAACACTAAACCTGAAAAGGGAAAAAGCTTGGATTCACCAATTTGTTCTAAAAATAAGCATTTAGACAACATTGTTACTTCAACAAGTTTAGTAAGGAATGGACCAGGCTCACCTTCAATTCCTCAAGTGGAAAAAGGATCTCCAGAATTGTTGAAAGTGCCATTGAAACAACAGAAAAGTCTTTGCCTACAAAACCATCTGGAAGAATCTAGGAAGTGTTCCCAAAACAGAGGGAGGAGTTCTCCTTTGGAAAAGTATAAGAAAAGCATAGAAATTGAGATGAAAGGGAATGAAAATGGAATAACATGTGAAAAGTTACCACTTGGGAAAGAATGTGTTCCGAGCAGCCAAGGATCAACTGCAAGTCAAAGTCCAAATGACTTGAAAGGTCTTTTATTTCTGAATGGAAGTGTGGAGAAAAACTCCCATCCCATTCCACTTTCCAACAATGCTTTATCATCTCAGAATCAGCAAAAAGGGCAGCAAGGTGGCTCGGAAACATTAGATGATTCCGAAAACACTAGTGTTAAAAGCATATCTTTAGAGAGTAAGAGAAATTTGGATGTTGTACAGGACTCAATAAGAAAAGATGTACAGAAGATTGATGATGCTCTCCCATGGAAACAAGAAGACACTAAACTAGTTGGAGGGTTGGAAGTGACAAATATCTGTAGTGACAAAGAGGGACTCTTGAGTCAGGAGAAGTGCATTTTGGGCCATGTCAATGATGTGACTGATCACTTGTCAAACCATGGTTCAAAGACTTTGGAAGTGTTGGCATGTAGAAGTGAGAACTTTGAAATGGTTTCTGCTGCCAATCAAATTACGGTCAGCCAACCTTGTTTCAACAAGACATTGTCCTTTTCACTTGGTGACACTGGAAAGGGTTCTTCTGTTAATGAAGTTGCAGAAAGCCATTTTGCTTTGGACAGTCTCCCATCATCCTTTTTACATGACACTGAAATGGGTTCCATTGTCAATCAAGAAAGCAAAAACTCAGAATATGCTCAAAACCTAGAGAGAAACATCAAGAACCCTTTGGATATTTCAACCCTGTTATGTTCCAATACAGAAGAATTTGACAATACTCCTGGAAGCATCAAAGGTACCATGCCTCTGTATTCAAACCCTGAGGAGTGTAATGAACAACCTGCTGATCCAGATTGTTCATTTCCACTTTGTCCCGATACAGAAGAATTCAGTCATGCAGTAGATGTTCCTTCTGGTCAAAACACAGGAGAATTTGGTATTGTAGAATCGGAATCTTTAGAGCCATCAATTGGGGATACTGCCACCCCTCATGGTAAAGCTAGTGTGCCGCAGGGGTCTTCTGTTATGGATATAGAGTCTGCATGTCAGGCAGAAAACAGTATATTAACTCCAGTGTTAATGCAGGCTTGTCTACAGGTAAGAGTTATTTGATGTGCTTCAATGTTAAAACTGTAGAATGTACCTCCATTGGACCCCTTTTGATTCCATTTCAGACCATGTGTCATTCTCTTTAGAAAATTCGTTGTTTGAGTTGTATCCATATTCATTTGTGTTGTCATGCTCAACTGTTAAACAAAGAAATGATACTCTAGGAAATAAAGTATGGTCTGAAAATCATTGGAAAAATTATGCTCAAGGGGAAGAAGTCTATAAATTTTTTGATATTCTACAGATTAGTTTCTTAATTGTCATATACAACAAAACTATAATAATATATAATAATACAATGTTTTACTACTGTCGGTGTCCCTAATTTAGGTTCAAACAGTTGAGCCAGGGGATCTTGCCTCCCCCCTCCCCCATCCCCACCTTTTTACGGTAATGAAATCTTATTTTGTATTATTTTGAGTTCATTATATAAAAGTGATAGCCCCCTACTTTAAATGTTCTCTGCAGTGCCTGTTATTTTGTTTAATATATTACTGCTGCAGTACATTTAGATATTGATAATTATTTTACTTTTGCAGCATGAGAACAGTGAATCCAATAAAGTGTTGTCGATCAGCATGTCGACATATGATAGTCCAGGTCATGTTGTCAAGAAGAGGGATGTTATAGCTGTGTGTCTGTCTCACTGGGTGGTACTGTGGATCAAGATGGGCGGGCAAGAATGGACTGTCCTGAAATCCTGGACTCTGGACAATGTATGTGTAAAACCTTTATAAAATCAAATCTAGTGTAGACACAAGAAAATGACAATAAGTAAGGTCACTGGCATGTGTGGCATGCACTGCTGTGGCACTGTTGTCTCACCACCTTGTAATTCAAGCTTGGGGTTGTGTTTGATTCTCAATTGAAATGCATCAATTGAAGTGCTTTTGGAGCAAACCTCACAAAAGAGTCCCTATTAAAAAAATTAAAGAATCAATGAATAGAATCTGATATACTTTGGTTGCCTAAAATGACAAGGATAGAAATGGGATGCAATACCCATGTGAAGGTGGCCCACCATCATTGCCTCAGTGTGCCTAATATTTGGTAATATTTACTATAGTCATATAATGACTGCATAGCTGCTTAACAACGAATAATGTTACAAGTAATAATTTTACGTGACTTGAAGTTGTGAAAGGCCCATTGGCCCTCCTCTTCAGTCATTTCATATAAGGCTTGTAATTTACCTATTACGCATGTTCTTATATGGTTTCCGAGGCCATCGCACATGGCTTACAGCCTCATCTATCAAGGAATAATGTTATGCAAGACATACTGAGAGCATTACATACTCATTCACTATATCTTTATGGTTCTTGCAGACTGATTGCAAGATGTTTCAAATGGTCAAGTTCTTACCTGTTATATCACATCTTGTCCTTTTTGTTGGAGGAAGGTTCGCTTCGGCAAATGGCAGGTATGTATGACAGCATATATATTCATATAACTATGTCACCTAAAAGGCACCAGTGTAGTTGTGCATTCTTGCTGTTGCTCTTATTTTCAAAGAATTACGCATTGGAGATGATATTATCAGCTTCTGTCAATTACATATTTTAGAGTAACCAGTAGCAATTACTTGAAAGCCATATTCAACTGTTTGCATTTGTCTTACTCAACATTTTAGGGTTTATGGATATTCAGATACCACAAGCTATGACTTTCAACTGGAATATGAGGATGCGTAAGTAAATATAAAATAAAAAAGTAATGATAATGACAAAGATAACGATGATATGTATGTATCTGTTATGATTGATGAGTATGATATGATGGAGGTTAGTAGTAAGGATGATGACAATGATGACAAAGATGATGACAAAGGTGGTGATGATGTGGAGTAGTAAGGGGATGTTGATGATGACAAAAATGATGACAAAGATGATGACGGAGATGAGTATGATATGAAGTTGGTGATTAAAATGATGAAAAATATGTTAATGAAAGATATGATGATGGATCTTATATCTAATATACCATTTCAGTTAGTGTGTAATATTTTCAGACTGTCATTCCCTAGAATATCATTTCTTTGTTTAATGGTTACTCATGAGAAGAAACATTAATTTTTACAATAACTTACAAATTTCTCACACATTTCTCTGATTGGTTATTTTTTATCATCAATAAGAGGACAGACAGATAAAGCTGACGTCAATGAGCGCGCGCTTTCCATTGGTTGTTTTGATCGCTAAAAATGAGAAGTTTTTATCGTTTTTGTTATTGTAAAAAAACAAATAGACATCAGTTTTTTATGTGTCTGTCCTCTTATTGATGATAAATTTCATCATTACATTGTCAAAGTAGTATGCGGATCTACTCGGCTACGCCTTGTGAATCCACACTACTTTGACAATGTGATGACACAATTTATCGTCAATAAGAGGACAGACACATAAAAAGCTGATGTCTATTTGTTAAGTAGATGAGAATCCTATTCCCAAGGCAATAATGCCTAAAAACATATTTAATTCATAATCTACAGATGCGATGACCTGATGTCGTTCAGTTCCATGTGTGTGTTAAATGAAAAGGAGCAGTGTATCAACTCAACTGCAAGTGACGTAGAGCTGGTTGTTGCCGGTGAAACAGCAAGCGGACCAGTGGTTAGCAAGTGGAGTCTTGATTGTCACTGTTTGTAAGTCCATGAGGTCACACTGTTATTCATAATTTATTATTGCAGTCAAGTAATGCGTAAATCAGATATATGGAAACACCAATCCCTCTCCATGGGGAGATGTACTGACTGTATGGATATTTTCTGAAATTACACAAAATACCCCCTCGGAAATTCCAATTTTTCTCCATGGGGGGAGGAATATTTTTGGATATTTTCCCCCCCTACTCCTTGGAAATTCCAATCTCCCTCCATGTGGGATGTATGGATAGTTTCTGGTACTACACAATATACCCTCCTCAGACTCCACCCCTTGGACATTCCAATCATCCTCCATGGGGATAGATATGGATATTTTCTGGAACTACACAAAAAATACTTATTTATCTCATATCCAATCTTAACCTGTTGTACTTTTGTTAAGGGATGTGAAGAAACATCAAGCGCTGACACTACCAGATGGTAGTGGAGCTATTACCTCACTGTGTACTGTTGATGGGAACTGTTGCCTTCTTGTTGGCTCTACTGGAGCTCATCTCCTTCTATGGTAAGGCGGAAGTATTTGAAGGAATATATATGACCTATTTTCCTTATTTAGTAGAGTTATTATATTTATTGGTTTTTCATTTTGATATTTTGAGGATCAGTTTTCTGTAAATCACTGCTGTGTCATTGGCCGTCCTCAATAAAGATTATTCTTATTAATGATTATTATTTACACCTTGGGATTCTTGTTTATTTCAGGAATCTGAAACGTTGTGATCTCCTGAAAGAAATAAACCTGTCAAGGCCAGGATTGCACAACTTTGATTGCTTGCAGGCTGCAACAGAAATGGTAATGAACATAGAAAGAGTTTATTGTGATATGAAGGAGAGGCCGTAGGATAACTTTAATTATGATATTGTTTTAATACAACAGGGTTTGCTGTTTCTTACCATGTGTCAAAGATCTGCAACACAAAAGGTACTGTATTGTGTGCCATCTAGGGAAGTAGCATCCTCAGGAACCCAGGGGTAAAATTCTGTCTTCAGGAGTAATTTTGTGGTAGCAAGAAACAAGCAACAGAATTTTACCCCAGGGCTCCCGAAGATGAAGAAGTAGGCCTCCACTAGCATCTCTTGTCTGGGCCTCCTGTGGAAGGTGTTTGGAGAGACTGTTCCTTCAGGAAAGGTAGAGGGATAAATAAAGAAAACACCAGTACATAATAAATTTGTAGATGGATCAAAACTCACTGGTTGATGGATTAACTAAACTTATGTGTATTGAAGAATATGGAAGAGGAGGAGGTGTAATTTGTGACAGCACAGTGCTTTAGTTAGACATTTTTCTCCTCTTCCTCTGGAACCCAGGGGTAAAATTCGGTTGCTCAGTTTTTTCAAAATGAGCAGCAAAATTTTACCTCTGGATTCAAGAGGATGGTTTTTCCTTCTCTCTCCTCCAACCAAAATTCTGTTCTGTAGAATAATCTGTGTAGTCCCTAGTTACCAAAACATACCCTACTTACAACCCGCCACCCCTTTGAAATTTCACTTTGAATTGCCTTTTATTATCAGGACAAGTTTGAATCAGATGCATCACCATGCCTTCTGTATGCTCTAAATCCACTCAACAATACCTTCAAATGCCTTAAACATTTCCCCCACAAGGAACTGACAAGGTAATGAAATGTGAACAATTATTTCTGCCAATCATATCCCATCTTCCATGCAGTGGTTGATATTCAGGGACGCAATGAAGGAAATTTGTTTCCCTGGAGCAGTGTTTTGTGCATGGTTTGTTAGGAACCACTCAACCTACAAAAAAATGATATAATATGACAAGACTAGCTTCTCCAACGAAAAAATTACCTTTGCACATTACGGACTGTCAATGAAAGGACCAGAAAAAGCGTCCATATGAACAGGGTGTGCATAATGAGTCAGTTTATAAAGGATATGCATACATATATTTCTCAGGCGAACATGCAGTAATATGTAGCAATGCTGCAACAAAATTGCATGGCAAGGTCAACTAGGATGTTTAGCATGCAATATTATTGTAAGACTGCAGAGTATGAGGAACATTGTCTACCTGCAAACCACCGATAGACAGCTTAAGATTGTTTATTTTTCCTGACTTATTACTTATTTTTCTTTGCCAAGTTCTCCGAAATGTTCTAGTGTATTTGGTCAGTATCTAGCACTAGGATGTCAAGACGGTATGGCATGGTTAGTGAATATGGCTGCTCCCCATCACTGGGCAACTTTTCCTGTCTTCCAAGGTTGGTTTTTACTCATTTGCCATCATCACAATGTAGATCGTAACCACTGTAACACATCTAAATGTAAGATCTTTGAGACAAAGGTTTTCTTAACAGGGGTGGATCCAGGGGGGTGCAGGATGTGCGAACCCCCCTGGTTCGACTTTGTGCCCCTACTTTGAAGTAACCAATACTGGGTTTTCCTTTTGATTCTAAGGGGTGCACCCCCCTGAGTTAACTTAGTGTGCAGCACCCCCCTGAACAAAATTCTGGATCCGCCCCTGCTTAATGTCAATCAAATTGTTTCCATGGCATTCTAAGGAATCTTAAAATACCTTGATTGACATAAAATCAAATACCTTTGTTTACATTGTCAGTCAGGGTATTTCTATGACATTCCTGTAAGCACATGCCCTTGAGAACTTGTTTCAATTCCTTGTTGGAAACAATTTGATTGACATYCATCAAACCTTTGTCTTAGAGATAATCTTAGATGTGTTACAGTGTTTCTGCTCAACCCTAATTCCCCTGGGGCCTGATAGGTTAACAACCCATGAAAAAGTTACTAGACAATTTAACCTCATTTCCATTGTTTGCCTTTATGTCTATTGACTATACATAAACAATGAATCTTCATTTAAGTGTTTAGTCTTCTAGCGCCAAGAGACCACCAAATAGGGACGACAAAATAAGAAATTATTTCCTTATGGGCTTGGTCAAGTAAAATCACTCTAGTGTAGTCATAATAATCTAGTTTCTTGATTTCATTGCTCTAGGTGCCATAGAGAGTATAAGCTTTCATCCCAACAGACCAATCTTAGCATTTGGAGGTGGTAAAAATGCTTGTGTTCATGTATATTCCTTAAGTTAATTAGTTACTGCTTGCTATGGAGGAGGTGGGTGATATGCATGAAAACAGCCAAGACAATTATTTGAAAAACAGGGTCTATTCAGTGAATCAAAATATGGCAAGCAATTTAAATAATTGTTGTGGACTGACTAGCCTTGTGTTCATGTAGAAAAATAAAAGCACTTTCACAAGTAGGAGAGGCTTGTCAGTTCATAGCCTGCAGAGCAGGCGTTCTTGTGATGGGTTTGAGGAAGAATCGGTGTTTTGGGGTTCTTGTTTCAACTACGTGCCCGCGAGAAAAATGGGACCTCCATATTTTCATTTTGGTGTGTCTATCAGTATATTACAACAACAAAAAATGTATATTACACTTCAGCATTAAAAAATATTAATTTTATTTCAAAGATCCTAATAGTTTACAGCATGTCTGTCTTGTTCAATGACTACATCAGACATACTAAACCCTTTAAATCAAGTCAATCAACTCAATTTTCCTGTACTCCAGGCCAGATCTATAATAAACACTTGACAGTCAATAATAGTGCCATTCTACTGTACATTAGTCTGGCTATCACTATGATAACACTGTAAAAAATATTTTATGTTCTCCCCATTATGTTTGGAAAATACATCAAAATTTGCATTAAGCATGTATTTTAAGATAGGGAATGTCAACCTGGTGTTTTGTTCGTACAGTCGTCCTGCTCATGTTACTTCCTTTTTCAGTTATTGCGTGCAAATCTATGTTCTAGCTGCTTTCTTACGTTTTGATTTTTCAACATAAAAAAGATCACTTGGTAACAAAAAACAAATGATCTCACAAAGTGCTGAGAAAACTGCAGTAAAACAAAATTCCCCACTGACTAAAGTTTAGCTCTAGCCTCTAAACAGGCATTTTGTCTTTTTCCTTATGTCTTCCTGAGGGGGGAAGGGAAAGGAAATGTTTTCACGTACACAGGTTCCATACAAATGACTATGGAGTTGATAGCTGTTGTGGACACCATGCTTAATGCTCATTTTCTACTTACAAAAACATCACCCAAAAACTTTCAATATTGAGTTCATTTTTGTATATAGATCTTGCTTTATGGTTTTTGGTATTGAAGGAAACCAAAGTTGCAATAACAAAATATGCCTTTAAATGTACAGGAAATGAGTTCGTTCAGATAATTAGCACTACAAGTGAAACAATGAATCAAAGAATGAGCAGAACAATTTCTGTAGCTGTAAATTGTTTGAACAAATCATCAGCTTTAGTGCTTGCAAATGAACCCTTTCCTATAGAAAAGTAATGTTAAAACCCCTCACAAAAAAAGAAAAGTTTGTGGCTTATGACTTTAAAAACAAAAGTAATTTGAAAGAAAACTTCTGCCTTTATTGCAGTGCAGTTCTCATCTACATACAACCAACCAAAAATGAGGTATTGATAGCTGGTATTTTTGACAGCCTACATGTACTATCAAAAGCAGGATTATTAATCCATTTTCTGCATGTCGCCTGTCCATTCAAACTGAATTTTTAGGCAGCCCTATTGCCATGAAGAGAGAGTGACCCTTGTACGAGGTTTACGGCAATTTTTGTGTATCTTGTCCCGAACACCAAAATCACCCTATTGTCATGTTAACTTGACCTTACAGTCATTGAAAAACAAATTTGTTGAAAAACTAATTTGTTGGTTGTATGCAATTAAGGAACTCTGCAACATGATTAAATAAAGCTGATACATGATTAATTCATTAGAAATCAGAGATCAAACTGAGGCTTTGCAGTCTTCACAATCCGAGCTTTGATTCATGAATTTATTGAATGAGTCTTTGTGGTACCTCCCAAGTCTTGTTTTGTCTTTACACTCGTAATATCCATATACATGCCAACTCAGAGAAAGATTTCTCACAGACCTTGGATTTATTTTGTTCGAAATCCATGTCTTGTGGGCTGTCGCAATTCAATACTACCACCATCTCGGTCACGACCTGTTCCTGTGCGCCGTAATCCAGTGCCAGAAGGAGGTGGAGCCATGACAGGTGTTGATCTTACATGCGCTCCTGACATTCTGGACATCTCACCATGAGGTAGTTCCATGGGATTTACGTCGGCAGGTGCTCCTCTATGAAGTCTCATGCTGATTCTTCTCTCCCGTTCAGCCCTCGATATTGGTCTCCCTTGTGGTCCTTGGAGATAGAATTGTGCATTGCGTCAACAACAAGCCCGGCATTGCTCTAACCATTATTACCACACATGAACCATGGAAACAGTTACTTTCTCAACCACCTACCAATAGGAGAAGGTGCCGCAGCTCCCATGGGGTCTCTCAACTTCCCTGACGCAGTCCCAGCCTGCGCACGTGTGGTTTGGCTTCTCATAAGATGGTTTCTCTCGGCTTCTCTGTCAAGGACTCGTTCTCTTTCGCCTCTTTTTTCTTGGGCTGGTTCTTCAGGTTTACTACTTGATCCCTATACATTACATTATCAATCAAACAAGGTATTCAGGATAAGCACAAAAAGAATGCAGCTATTTTAGTATGATTATTAATAATTATTATTATTACTACTGTGTGAACAACTCAACAGCTCATTTCAACCATTTGCTATTAAATGTATTGGTCACTGCTGTCAATAATGATATAATCTATTAAACCAAAACCCAATGAAAATTGCCCAGACTTGATCAAAATTAATGATCAAGATTGAAATAGTAGACATGTTGAATGCTGATCTATTGCTTGCATTTGGTTTTGGTTCAGAAGATTACAGAATGTTTGCTATCTAGCGTGATAAATTAAACTTTCGGTTCAATGTACAAATAAATACCCTTTACAATCAAACTACTTCAAGTGTGAGCACACAGAGCTTATAATGACTTAAAATGATTTTTGGACTCTGGATTTCATTATTTAATTTTAACATCAATTATTGAAAATGAAGTCATGACTATTCAAAAGGAGGATAGTTTGATTGTTGATTCTATGTATTCATGCTTGAGGTAGTTTGACTGTAAAACTACTTCACTGCTAAATTTCATTATACTTTGCTGCTGGCAATATGAACTAGGTAGTACTGTATACACAAATTGAACAAAAGTATTTTAGGAGCCAAAAATTAATGCTGAAGGAAATCCATTTTGACTTACAAATCTTAGAAGGTTCCAGTCAAAGACATAATCATAGGTGTATCCTTGTCTGTGGAATAAGTTGCGAAAGAGTTGCCGCAGGTGCGAATAATCTGGCTTATCATCAAATCTCAGTGAACGACATGTGTTGAGGTATGTTGCAAACTCAGCTGAATATAAAAAGAACATTCATGAATGTGTTAGTTACAGTAATAAAGTGAAGTCATTCAACCGGTAAAATAGATTTTAGACTAATACACATAGGTAGACTCTAATTCAATTGTTTTCTTTTGTGTCTATTGACTATTACACATTGAATAGTATTTTTTGTTTCACAGACTCTATTTTTATTTCTCTAACCAAAGAAAAAAAGCAAAGTCTCTTACATGGGAATCCTTTGCAAAGAACTTCAATAGGAGTGGACATCTTTCTCTCACTTATTCTTTCATATTTCTGTCTTTTTGTGGCAGCTTTGAGCCCTTGCCATGGAAGGCTACCAAGGTTGAAGTACATCAAAACATATCCAAGTGACTCCAAGTCATCACGCCTGCTTTGTTCTGATAAGAATACCAAGAAATAAGCTCAGGATGGGATTCACAGAGAATACTTTTGTCTGGGAGGGGAGAGGGTCTAGTAAGTGGGTGGGGATGCAGTGGTGTCATGCCGCAAGTACAATATAATGAAGGCTGACCTACTGCATTAGCCTTTTAAAATATGTGCCAAAAATTTTGCAATATTGTTTTACTGACTTAGAACACTGACAATTTCCATGGCAACAACCTCAAAGTATCTCATTCAAGAAGAAATTGGCCTATTAGCCTGGTTTTTTAGAGAATATGACATAATCAAGCAGTTGTCATGAAAACAAGGGGTAAGGCATAATGACAAAGCTTTTGATATGCATATTCAGCAGTGTATTATTTCCCCCTGATGAGGTTTTGCAGTATCACATGGTGGCAGCCATAACAGGAACAATTGAATCTGGTCTAATCTGATTTACATGAGAAAGAATTCAGTTTCCAAGGGGAAAAAGACTATTGTTATGCCCCCTGTCATGGCTGCCAACACGCAATGGTGCAAAGCCTCTATATATATACAAAATCCTTTCTTCATCAATGAATGAACGGCACCTTTATTTTGAGAGGATAGCCCTTTCATTTATAAAACGTCACTGTTATCAACAGAAGCCCTGATATATTTTTTTCCCACTAAATAGATAATGTGCCACATAACCAAGAAAGCAAAGACAGTCCTCATGTATATTTAATAACAAGTATATCCTTACCTATTCCTAAGTGTGTATTAATACTAGCATATCTGGCAGTTCCTGTAAGATTCTTGTTTTCTCTGTACGGTATGTGCTGATGTGTTCGAGGGTCACGATACTTCTTGGCCAAGCCAAAGTCAATGATATAGACTAGATTACCTTTCTTACCAAGTCCCATCAGAAAGTTATCAGGTTTAATGTCTCTATGGATAAAGTTCTTACTGTGAACGTATTCTATACGACTTATCTGAAACAAAAAAGAAATGATGTTAGCTAAAGTGCAGACACATTAAATGATAAGGCATTTTTTTAGGGAATAAAAGCAAAATTCAGACAACACATAACCAGTTTTTTACTACCTAATGTATTTATCCATTTATTAAGTAGTTTCAAACTGATGTTACTACTGAATAGGGCTTACCGTTTGATCTGCCAGCAGTAAGACAGTTTTTATACTAAATTTTCTGTTACAGAAGTTAAAAAGATCTTCTAAACTGGGTCCAAGTAAGTCCATCACCAGAACATTATAGTCTCCTTCTGTTCCACACCATTTGATAGTAGGAATACCAACTAGATATTCAAAAATAATATTTCTCTTGTTAGTATTTAAGCATCAAAGTGTATAGGAAAAAGATATTTTAAAAACTGATATTTCTAGTTAACAAATACCATAACGCTAAGTTAAAATATCATTTATTTGAGAGATAGATATCTAAAGAGAATGAGGTCTTAGTTAGATGGAGGGGGTCAAAAAAAATTTTTTGCTCTTTGAAGCAAAGCTTTAAAAACGTTACAGGCATCTCATATTTTAGACAAAGTTTAACAAACACTTCAAAGGTATGGACAAAGGAGGTTCGTTAATTGGAAACTCAGTCATGTTGAGTAAACAAAATATCTACTCAGAATTTCAAAGGAATGAGAAGTGTGTTTACATTAGCCATATAAACAATATCACTTCAGGAATAATTGTAGCTCACAGAAATGATAAATATTTTGAAATGCATTCTCTTATGACGCATTGCTATGACAAAACGTCAGGAAAGCTATTGTAAAATCTATTGTAATAGAAAATATTTAAATTGCATACAATAACACCACTTGTGCAGAGGTAATAGGAAATGTCAATCAAAGTATTTTTGTTAAAGAAACTTAAGGTTAAGCTCACATAAAAATAGAAACTCAAATGATTCTTAATCATGCAAAACTATGAATTTAAGACCTAAAAAATATATTCATATACATTTTTAGGGTGAAAAAAAATTTGGAGTATTATTAAAAATAACGATAATAATAATCTTTAAAAAAAATTCTTATCTTAAAAGGATTAGGAAATTAGCTTTAGAGCTTAAGATAATTACTGTAAACAGAAACTTTGACTTGATTTTAAAAGGAATTCAATATTTTTAGTAAGATTTAGGAATATTTTTCAAATTGCTTTCTAAAAATGTTTGCCAATATTGCACCACCAGAAGAATCTAGAGAATGGACTTAACCAAAAAATCGATGACAAAAATTACAATCACCAAACTGCAAGTCCTCTGCAGTGCTAATAGTCAATATATTAGTCAAATATATTATTGATTAACAAGATTATCCTTGGCTCTGCTTTCGTTTGTAAGGTTTGATTGCGTTTTATGGAGTTAAAGTTCTGTTTTCAGACGTAAACTTTTCGATTTTCAACATTAGCAGGATTTTGTTTACGTTTGGTGCGTGTCAACTGTATGATTTGAATAAAAATATGAATTGAACATGTATTATTAAAGACGATAGCACAGAAGATTTTTAAATAACTATCTGAGTTTGGGTAGCTTTTTTAAAGCGAAGAATGAGAAATTGAGATTTTTGACGATCCTTTAGAAGGCGAAGCCATTTGAGCCTTCCTTGCCCTCTAAATACGCTGCAAACATTGATGACAATAACCTCTTTATTTACCTCCTCCTTGCATCATTTTGTAAAATTTTGCTTCGATATGAAGCTGTGGATGCTTGGTCTTGACACATTCGAGTTTAATTGCGACCTCTTCGCCTGTCGATATGTTCGTCCCTTTTTAAAATCAAGGAAAAAATGACGATTAGTTGTGTTTCAAGAGTCAGTTGTAAACCTTTGCTTTACAGCTACTTACCAAGATATATATCCCCAAACGACCCACTACCGATCTTCCTTCCCAAACGGTATTTATTTCCAACTCGGAGCTCCATTGCCTACTCTTTATAAATCCCAAAATACAGCAATATCGTGCCAAATGTAAAGAAAAATCCGTCGATGATGGCGACTCAGATTGCTAGTGTATCGATCTCTCATAAAGGTACGTTTCGGTTTCAATTCGTACGAAAATATTCGTTATTGATCAGTCAAACTTTCAGAAATGTGGTCAAAAATAAATCAAGAATAATCATAGTTAATGTGGCAGTCCTAAGTGAATGAGATGCTGAAGATGGAAAAGGATTCTTTAGTTTATACTCATTTTGTTTTGGTTTATTTTGGCTTATTTTGGCATTCGTCTCTCTTCGACAGTACAGGATAAAGCGGAACAGTTATCCATATATGGGCATCATAACCAAAGACCGAATCAAAGCCGACCTTTCATCGATGGAAAGCCGAAACCGATCGGAAATTTGTCGTATTGAAATTCAAAAACCACAACTATTTGAAAAGGAAGTGACGTTTCCCTGTTTTTCTCTCTTAATGAATGAATTTATTGTGTATCTGATAAAAGAATCCATTCGTTTTAGGTGGACAGACAAACGGTGATTGAAGTTGCCACTAAGCTAAGGTAAGTTCAGATATTTTATTGTAAAAGTTTTTTAAGGTGACTGCCTACTTTTGGAAATTGATTTAAGCTTTTTTTAAAACTTCGATTTTTCGAATTGAAATTTAATGCTGATTCCAAATCTGGAAAGAAAATAGGGTGTCCCGAGCT